CAGCAAGTATTTTATTTATGTTTAGATAAAAGCTCGATAAACATTAAATCAAAGGGATTTCTGTTCGCTATAGGTTTTAGACAGAAAATCTTCCTGGTTTTCCTTTTGGCACTACTTTGAGTTTAATACAAGGGTGCAAAGTTAATTTTTATTGTTCATGTCCCGAGTGTCTTCATGGTGCCTTTATTATGCTAAATACCATGCTTGGGCATGTTCTTCAGGTCCTTTTCCAAGTTTGAACTTGGTTTATAACTTTTACAACGAAATCATTGTAACATTTGTTCATTTTGTCCATGAATTTCAGCTCAAGGAACTCGAGAAGTCGGGCCCCAAGAAAGGGGTTATCACACAATCTGTAAAAGATATTGTCCAAAGTCTAGTGGATGACGACCTTGTTTCAAAGACAAGATAGGAACTTCTGTGAGTAATTATGTCCAGATGCAGTAAAAAAGAAACTCGATTTCTTTTGGGCTCTGAAGCTGAGCATGGATTTTTATTTTATTTTTCATGCACATGAATTTTATAGACTCTTGTTTGAACAACTGTACAAGCTATGTTGAAGTTTCTCCATACCATTATATCTAGAATTTCATAATGCTGATTTTTTTTTCAATATCAGGTATACTTTTGGAGTTTGCCTAGCTGTGCTGGAAATCAGGTAAACTGAGGTTGTTTAGCTTGAATTCGTCATTACTCTCATGCTTATGCTATAAAAAGAGACCATATTTTCATCTTTTAACTAAGTTGATAAGTATTTGATGTTTAATAGCTGAGGAATGTGTCTCGGAAACTCGAATCTGATCTCCAAAGCAGTAAGAAGCGATTTGCAGAACTTGTTGAACAGTGTGATGCCTTAAAGAAGGGACGAGAGGAATCTGTATGTACACAAATTCCATATCTTCCTGTACTTTGGATTAAATTTTACAATGTAAGAATGAACTGTTTGTCTCCTCTCTTTTTAATTATTGCTTTTACCAGGATGAACGAGAGGAAGCCTTAGGTGAGCTAAAAGCTATTGAACAGAAGTATAATGATTTAAAGGTGGGGTCATATCTTATTCTTTTGCCATGCATTGACACTGGAATTTTCTTTCACCCTTGTGACTAGCTCATTATCTGATTTTCAGGATGAGATGAGCCAGTATGCAGACAATGATCCTGCTGCGTTTGAAGCAATGAGTTAAGGAATGCTTATACTTCCAATTGATGCTTTAACTGTATTATTGTGCGCAACTTCCCCTATTTTCTATGAGAACTGAATTTAAAAACCCAAGAGTTCTGAAATTTTATGAGTATTAAGTCATACTGATCTTTTGATATAAATTTTTTTTGCAGAAAAAGCTATTGAAGTTGCCCATGCAGCAGCGAACAGATAGACAGGTTTTATCTCTAAGACATCTCAATTTCTCTTCCCTTCTTTGGGTTGATAAGAATGGTGAAATATTGTAGAATTCTTTGTTTTCCTGACTATTATATATACACTTGACAGACAACATTTTCACGCTGCGCCAATGGTGTTCAAACAATTTTCCCCAGGCAAAAGAGCAGCTTGAGAACATGTACAAGGAGGTATTTTCCTTATTTCTTCAATCTCACATGCATATCCTTGCAAACTCCATCACCATTCCTTCTTCCACTCACAATGCAAGTGTAGGGTCCTTTCATTATTGCACTGTCACTCGGTAATCTATGAAAGGAGATTACAACTCTGATTCGTACAAACATTCATTGCGGTTATGCACTGGAAGTCCTGTTGGCAGTTGTAACTTGTTTGTTTCAATTTCACCAAGAAAATAGTCAAATGTAGGCTCAAGAGCATATTAGAAATGAGAGGTTCTGCATATTTTTTTCTTCGAATTTTCTATGAACCTGTTGCCAATCAGAGGCCTCAGAAGTACATAAGAAACTTTTTTGTTGATTTGCTATATGAGTTCCAAAAAGCACAGCTGCAATGCTACAAAGCTTGATTCTGTTTTCTTATTTCTACTTAATTCTTAACCTTTATATGTACTGCAGGTTGGAATAACAGATGATTTTGACTATTTGGAGTTGCCAGTACTTCCACTTGGTGATCAGGTGCAGGAAGGCAATTCTTAGGTATTGTAGTTTAGCTTTACTTTATAGTACAAAACCCTGTATTGCCACCAAAATATAAGATTTACATGTGCTGTCATTGAGACTGCTTGAGTGGTGTCCTTACTTGCACAGTTATGAAAGGATAATGAGCCTAAACATAAGGTCATTTGACACTCAATTAAATGCATCTGGTCATAGGAGTGATATTTGTAATTTTGAAGAACCAATGTACCGCATCAATGATGCTACTCAGTTGGGACTAGCCTCCCCGAAACCTGTAAACATCTAAATTCTCAACCAGTCTCTCCCAAAGCCGTAACATGTCAATCCCGTTGAAGGTAGTATCTAGAAACTTCACGACCGGGGGGACAGCCCCTTGAGAATGATGCTCTCTTGTTAAAATGGCTTGCTGGTTTATGCTAGTGTTTCTCTCCCAACACATTCATGGTGCCTTGTACATGCGCTTAAATGTATTTGTGTGAGGCAGTCGGAACTTTTGAGGGGATGAAACGTTTACCTAATGCCACTGATCAACCTACCTGTGTCCTTGTCATTGTGCTAAATTGCCTTGTTTTCTATGATCATTTTTTACCCCTCTTTGGTAAGTCATAGGCTGTTTCGCTCCTTGTAGCTTCCAGCTTAATATGTTTTCCAGTCCCATTGCTTGCTTCACAGGTCATGGCTCGATTTTTGTCTGCTACTAAAGTACCAGCTAAGCTCTCTTGTAGGCTCGTAGCTTTTCTTGAATTGTTGTTAGTTTGGTGAATGCAAATACTCGTTGCCACATTAAGACTTTGGATTTGCATTTAAACATTTCAGGCCACTTAGCTTTTAGATTTATTTTTTATTTTATTATTATTATTTTTTTAAAAAAGAAGAAAAATCATAGATGATTGCAATTATTGAGGTTTGAAACAGAAGATTGAAAAAGAATGTGAGTTTTAATTTGTAAAGCACTACAGATTCTTGTACTTCTTTCAGATAAAATACTAGGAGTGACAATTTGTGTTGGCGTGTCATGTTCGTGTCAACATGATTACGATACAAACACAATTAGGGTCGACACGAACACGACACGATTATTAATCATGTCCAAGACCCTTGACACGAATACGTCACGATTATTACACGCATAACACGACATAACACGTGTAACTTGTTTAATAAATGGGTCAAAGACTTGATACGATACGAAAATACACGTTTAAGTTATTTTTGACACGAATACGACTTTTTTATTCTACTTGTTTACCTAAATGGGTCATTTTTTATACGAACATGACACGCTTAGTTAATTGTGTTTACATGGTCAAATACAAATACGACACGTTTAGCTAGCGGGTCAATTCGTGTCGACACGACCACGAGTAGTCCAAACTCAAACTCGTGTCTTGTTTGTATCGTGTTAACGTATTGTATCAATTTTTACTGTCCCTAAAAAATACTGATAATGTTTCCTAAATCATTTGACTTATGCCCGTTTCATTATGTAGTTATTTTCAATTACCCAAATGATCATCCTTCTAATTGACACGACTCTTCTTGGTGTGCCTCAAATGCAAAATTAGGAACAAAGAATGGATTTAATTATTTGTATATTGAATATTATCACAAATCAGATGATTCTCGCATCAGTGTGTTTTGTATGGTCAGAGTCAAAAGCGACAGCCGACAGAACATTCCACAAATCATCCTCTTATTCCAGTCGGGAGTGTGTAGGATTTGACCCTCAGTGGACTAGTGAACACAACTCATCTCGCTAACTGGAGTGAGAACGTCAGCCACTTTCTCCTTACACATGCCGACAATCAACGGTCCAAAATGGGTCTGAGCCCCATGGTAATCTGACAACAATTGGAGTTTGGTTCTCTGCCTCATTTTACACCCACAAAATCTAAGTTATACCTACAATTAGGCATTGCATCCTGGGTTTTGGAGAATAGGAAGAAAGATCAACAGAAGAAGGCAGTTAGACATTTTTGGGTTGGACAAGTTGATAATATATTATGTTGTGACGGCACTTGTTTTATCTCACTGTCTCTGTGAATGGAGTGAATTTAGGGGTGAATTTGTGTGTTTGGGATCAATTTTATATTTGTGGGTTCATGTATTAAAATGATCTCGAGTCTATGAAGCTTGGTAATGCATGCTACGAACTGGTGTTTGTTTTGCAGACTGGAACCAAGGAATAGCATACGTGATCGTGCTGGTTACTGTGGTGCTTACCTATCTCACTTACTAACCTGTTCGTTTTACAATTAACTAATATATGCGATTGTGGTGGTTGCTTTGCTGGTTACCTACATCATTCACTGACCATCTATATATAGGCGGAAATTCAAAATTTATAATGATTAATTGATGCATTTTCTGTCTTGATCTATAATTGAGTACCCATTCCTCATAGTCATTGCTTAATAAGCTGTATATTATATATATATATACACATATAAATTTGATTTCTTCTTCTTGCTAAAGTGTGGTATATAAGTTGGTAGCAGCATCACATGAAATGCGTCTAGCTCACCTGCAAAAGGAACTCTTGCACATCGGATGCTCTATAATATCGCTGAAGTGCTTATTTTAAACCTTTTTTTTTTTGGAAAATATAACAGTTGTCCGGTAGTGTTGTTTTCTCTCAAAATATTCTTACTCATTGAAATTATATTTTAAAATATTTCTCAAGATTTCTTCCAGCAAATCAAAAGGCACGGCACCATATGACATGCCGACGGACTAATAAATCTGTCGATTGAATGATTGACCGGCTTTTAAAAAACTTCTTCCCAGTTATTTGCGAAATGGTAATCAGACGGAGCTCTCTCTTAATATAACTATCTTCAACTTAAAAGGGTTCAAAAAAGTGTAGAAATTACTTTTTTGGAAAAAAAAAACCCAAACAAATTCAAATCTAAATACAACACATTTATCCTAAATATAATAGAGGAGATTAAAGAAACGACGTGTTTCAAGTACACCAATAAGTCCACTGATATATTAACTGCTGTTACTACAGCCACTTATAGAACTTGAAATCCATGCACGGGATCAATTACAGATAACATGGAAAAAGCACCTGCTCACAGTGCCATTTCTGCTTGTAACGCAGCGAGTTCATCTTCCTCAGCCGTGCGCCTCTGAGGAGCAGGTCGAGCTGGTTGCCTGCGTACTGGGACTTGCACGGGAGCCGCAGGGGCTGTCGTTGCAGGCTGAAGAAGCTGTTCCTCCAATTCAGCACCTTCTAATTCTTCAAGCTCAGCTTCCAGTTCATCCTGCAATAACAAGTTCACGCAAAATCAGACATATCACCGCATATACATTTACGGAGAACATAAAGGGCCAAATTAGAACATGTCCTCTATGAATCCGTCCAACTGGAGCTTCAAGGGAACCAAAAGATTGTAAATAGAAGGTAAACCTCATCAAAATCAGCTGCTGCACCAATAGGTGTAGCCAATGCTTCCTGTATCTGTTTCATGTTCTCAGTTTGCTCGTTTATTTCATCCATTGTCTTATCCACATCATCAATGTTCCTGTAAAATAAGATGCCATTTCAAAATAAATAAAATAAGTTTCAGTTAGAATAACTACATGACAATGAAGACAGTGATGTGGTCCACATTGAGTTAATAGTGAGGGAAAGGGGTTATGATAGTAAGGAAAAATAAATAAAATTATTAGCGTGAGGTTTTAACCAAGGTATGGCCTAATAAAACAGAATAGTCGAACAATATTCCAATGGCGGACCCTGAATAATAAGGAAGTCTCTGTTACGATGATCATTTAGGAAAATGATTTGTTTAGGTAAGTTGTCAGCTTAAACCTTAAGGTCAAATTTAAGAATTTTGGAGAAGCTCTAAATAAAGAGGGCTACTTACGTTGCTTTCTGCATTGCCTTCATTGCAGATGCTCCTGTTCTTAATGCATCAACCGTCTCTGTTGTAGCTTTTGCACCTTCTAACATTATCATCTGTCACATCAAAATATATGATCCATAAATTGCTGAATCGTCAAATGCGGCAGAAATTCAACTAGTATTCCTCAACCAATATATGAATTAGTAACATAATTTAGAAAAGAAAAAGGAAGGGGAAAAGCATATTTTGAAAAAATATTGAGCTTACCTGATCATGGATACGTAATTGGTAATTTCCAAGCTGCTCAATTTGCTGTTCAATGAGCCTTTTCGTCTTCAAACATTGTATAGCAGCTGCATGATTAGCAATTGAGGTTTATGGTTAAAAACTGAAAGTACTATATACACCTTGCTGAAGTCAACTAATATATCAATAGAACAAAATATATATCCACACCGGAACAGTCCAAAAGCAAAAAGACACTGCATAATTACTAAACACCAAAGCAGTCCATCACCAATACAACCTTGACAGAGAACTCCCTGTCAAATTTTTTTTTTTTTTTTACCATTAATGATTAATGTTCACCACCCTAGTTTTCTTAGGTAAGTTTGATTTATTGTCATAATAGGGTATACAATAGAAACCCAAGAGTAATTTGTTACATCAAAGCAAGCAAAGAGACTACATGAAGACTTACCAAATTCTTGGGAATGAAAATAGAGTTCCAATCACAGAGATGCAAAGTTATAGAAATACAAATGATGATGTAAAGTTAATGCTAATAGCCAATAAACTAAAAAGACATCAAAGAAATAATTTGCACACAATATCAAACCATGAACTATCTAATCCACCACTGTTTTAAAATAATTAACTAGACCTAAAATATGATCCTCTCAAGAGGAAAGAGCATGAAATCCAGAACCATACCCCTCTTGTTCTTTGCTTTGGTAAATTCCTTGGCCTTTTCGACCTCTGCAGCAGCTTTCTTTTGAAGTACTCTCTCTTTTTTCTCAAGCATTTCAAGTGTCTACACATCATGAAAAGTATAAAGCTCAGAATAATTCAAACAGCAATTGTTGTGAAAGCTATAACAAGTAGCATCACTGCATCAGCAAATAATTAATAGTAAAAAATAAAAATAAAAATAGAAATAAGTTATATCTTTTTTATATATATAAGTAAATAAATGCCACTCTTTTTACTAAAAGAAAATTTGGAGCAAAATTTACAGCTCCAACATCCAACCAGAAGTTGCAAAATAACATCCTATCACTTTATACAAAATCTAACTTTACAAAAATGCATCCAATGAAAAAACTCAAAAATAAAACTGACAGAAGAAAAAAAGCACTTTAATCTGGTCGCCAATTGCCTTTTCCTTTTCTTGTGAAGGGAATCATGTGTGGTAGTTCTAAAAATGAATAATTCACCATCTTCACAAGTTGGAATTCAAGCAAACAACCTACTAGTAATTCAGCAAGGATATTAACAAACTACACCATAGCACCTCTACTTCGATTGAAGGATTGGGAGAGGCAACATCATGATGATTTCATATCATAGGGTATATTTTTTGCATTACCGTTAACATGTAAAGTGTTACTGATTATATAAGACCTTAGTAAAAAAAGATGTAAGGAATAACTTTCCTATCCTTTAGTTCCTCAAATATATATATGTATATATCCAACAACATGGTTTCTCGACAATATATATCCTTTGAGTAATGCATGAGAGCCAGAGAGATAAGCTCTCTTTGTTTAACCACAAGACTTTTTGAGATGTGTAAAAAGTCAAAGAGCTCACCATGAGAGAGCACTCATGATAGCATTACTCATATCCTTTTGTTTTCTAAACCGCTGTTTCATAAATTATCTAGATGGAAACCTGCCAATCTACACTTTCAATTCCAAAAATTGGGGGAAACACTGCCAGATTAAACCAATAAGATCCCAAAAGCCCTAATCATTCAACTATGGTAAACTCAAATTAACCTAAATTATAAAAAACGAAATATGCATCGAATCATATTACATAGCATGAATGGAATCAACAAAACCAATAAGATCGACCAAATAACGTATTATGACTATTTAGGTCTCGTACCTCGTTTAGCTTATCCAACGTCGCAAGAGCATTGGTCTCTTGCTTGGGTTTGCCGAAAATCCGCGTGAACATGATCGATTCAATATAAAAAAAAAAAAAACTCTCGACACCTCCGAATCAAAAAGTAATGTTGCGGTTATATGAACCCTAATTCTGATCGATCGAAAGAAATAAATGAAATACCTCTGACTTTGATGCTGGGGCTTGAAGGCCAACGATCGATTAATAGATGGACTAAAACTGTGGGTGTTAGGGCTTCCTAGGAGAGGAGAGAGAGAGAGAGAGAGAGAGTGTGTGCAGAATTGATCTAAATACGGTGAAGGAGACGAAATCGCTAACGAAGAGAGAGACACAAGGGTAAGCAATGGCTTTGCCTATTACGTATGCAGGAGTCCACGCGGAGACCAGTTTATGGGTTAGAAACGCGTGTGGGTTCCACAATATAAGTAACCGATGCGAACGATGTCGTTTGTTTTGGTTAACTGCAGAAAGAAAAAATTTCGAATCATAAAATCAACCCCCAATTTTGGAGAGTTTGCAAAGTTTTGACACACAGGAGTTTGCAAAGTTTTACACGCGTTTGTTTTGATGACCCTTATTTGCCATCTTTTTGTAGAGGCATTCTTTTGAATATTTGATAACATATCATGACATTATTTTTTCATGAGAAGTTGCATTTGTGGCTATATAGGCCTTAATTTGTAAACCTATTCTTTTGAGCACGATTTTATCATTTCAAAGATGTATGAATGCTTAAACGAGGACCTTGATTTTTAAATAATGTATGAAAGATGTTATTTAATGATTTAATACAATGTTTTTGTGTTAAATGATGTCATTGGGATTTATGTACATGTTGGTTGCCTTGGATTGCATTGGAATAGGTTGGGTTAGTGATATAAATTGATCACATGGGGTTTTGGGCATGATTTCATCATCTATGTGGAGGGCATTTATACGCGGGCATCTGTGCGCATAGATTCCTTGAAGTGTGCGCACAAATGAGCAACTATACGCACAGATCCCTCATGTGTACGCACAGATGGCCCTGCAGCTTGTCCACTTCACTAGCTTGACTATGTAAATGATACGATGACCCAAGTGTATTGTCCAGTATTTACATTTTGCCCGTTCTTCAATATAATTACATATTTACCCTGGACTTGTCCTTAATCACTAAATAACCCTAGTAAATGACAGTTTTACCTTTCTTTTTTTTTTTTTTTTTTTTCGAGTCTTAAGCCATATATGACCATGCCAAATGACTATTTTACCCTTGAGGACTCTAAAATTATTATATTAATAGAAAATGATCATAGTACCCTTATGTGACCTCGGGTTTGGGTAAGGACCCAGGTAGCCATCCAAATCCTCGAATTTGGATCGTTACAATATCTATATCTATATTTATACAATTATTAAAAGTACAAAAGGTGTTGAGAATTTCAAATTATTAATTTATAAATTAGATAATAAAATAGTAAAATAAGTTACCAATTAAAATACCAATCGTATTTTACTTAGGATTTTATCTATACTAATTACTAATTTGGTTTTCAATTTAGATTTCTACCACAAAATAAGTTAAAGTATTATTGTTTATTTTCTGAAGTTTCGATTTAAAAGAATTTTAAATTCTTTCTTTTGTTCTATTTGAGCACGAGTATATTAATTTTACCTTTATTGTTATTTTTTATTTTATTTTATTATGAAATTTGATAGAACGTGTTTCATCCAATTTAGGTTTTTTCCTTAAATTATTTATTCTATTATATGATTCTATGTATTGATTTTACTTTGGACAAATTGGTTTTTTTTCTTAAACTCTTTCTTCTACTATATGATTTTATATATTGATTATGATTGTATTGATTTTACTTTTTACGTTATTTTTTATTTGGTAAATTCCCTTTTTCCTGAAGTATATCTTTATTCAAGTATTATTCTACTGATTTTACCTTTATCGTTTATTTTTTATATTCTTATGGAATTTGATGGAATAGTTTTCATCCAATTTAGTATTTAAATTATTTATTCTATTCAATTTGAGTATGATTATATTGATTTTACTTTTGATTAATTTATTAATTTTTCATTAATATAGTATATGAAAAAATGTATTTTTTTAGGGTAAAAATTTGAGTATGATTCTATTTGATTTAAAAGAATTTAAATTCTTTATTCTACTATATGATTTTCTATATATTGATTATGATTGTATTGATTTTACTTTTGATGTTATTTGTTTTTTGATAAATTATTTTTTCCTGAAATATATTTTTATTTGAGTATTAGTCTACTGATTTTTCCTGAAGTATGATTCAATTGATTTTCCTTTTGATTAATTTATTAATTTGTTATTAATATATTATATATAAAAAATGTATTTTTTAGGGTAAAAATTGTAAATCTGAGTATAATAAATTTCATTATTAATAGTTAAGTTTCATATTAATGATTCCTTACTTTAATACAATGGTGTTTTCCTTTTCTTTTTTTTCATAGTTGATACTTACATACACACATTCCTCTTTGGAGGCTAGAATTCTAATTCTAAAAGTAAAACTTAACAAATTCTACCAAAAATTGAGTGATTCAAGCTAAAGTACAATACTATTAATAAAAAGATATGAAAATAAGTATCAAGGCATAAAATGTCATAATTTATTATTTTTTAGTATCAAGGCATAAAATGTCAGAATTTGTTCCTCCTATTTATTATCTTGGTCATAAATCATAAATAATTAATTGAAGAAAAATACATAAATTTCAATTATTCATCCTTAGTTAGGCATAAAATGTCATAATTTATTGTTTTTTTAGTATCAAGGCATAAAATGTCAGAATTTGTTCCTCCTATTTATTATCTTGGTCATAAATCATAAATAATTAATTGAAGAAAAATACATAAATTTCAATTATTCATCCCTAGTTAGGCATAAAATGTCATAATTTATTATTTTTTTTTCTCAAATAGTCCAATGAAAATTACTAATTCATGATTATATACGAGTAACCTTTATGCTAGACTCCAAATACAATCAATTTTAGTCTATGGTTAAGTACATGAAATTAACAAACTGGAACATGCATTTAAAATTGTTTAAATATTTTATTGAGTTAGTATGAACATCAAACAAATTTAACAATTGAAAACATAGAGTTACAAGACTAACTTACTAAGGCTTCCTCTCAGCCAAAGTTGAGAGATTAGAACTCAAATAAATAATAAAATAACAACTATAAAACACGGCATCATGAGTAGAAGTAGGATCTTCTGTATTTTATTTGTCACTTGCATAAGCCTCCCAGCTTTGCTTCTTAAGAAAATGCACGGCCTTTAGTGCTCTTATAACAGCTTCCATTTACAATTCAAACAGCGGCCAAGTCAACCCCCAGTGCAATCATGAGTCCATTGACTACAGTAAGACAGTATAATTTTCATTATCCATAAAGATCCAATCCAAACAGGTAATAATTCAATCACCAAAAATTCCATATGCACACTAATCAAATCAAGATCAAAACATATTATAGAGGTAATTATTTGTAAAAGCTGAAGATAGGGCAAGAGGATATGCCAAAGTTGAGTTGTCGATCATACAATATTGATCAACAAATGAAACTCAAGGAATAAATTTGAAATGAAATAGAAAAAAATTCAAAAGGCAGGAAAAGCAATCAGCACCTTATTTGCCAATCATATGCAAGTTAACCTCTTCTTGATTGCTAATGCCAAGGAGGCAAACTGATTTCTTGATAGAAGATATGCGGCAGATACTCTCATTGCTGGGGGTCTAACAGTTCTCGAATATCTAACACCTATAGGAATAGTAAGCGTCTTTTTTTTATCCATGAGCGGGAATGTAACGTATGACCGTGACGAAGGCATAAAAACAAGGGGCCCATATTCGATGAATGTTCTTCCAGTTTTATATGTGACTGAACTCTGTTAAAAAATACACAAAAAGCATACTTGTTAAGGCTCAAGGCATACACTAAAGCGGTCTCCTGGAGCCCAAGTGCAAGACACAATACAAGGCAAGAGACTGATCAAAGGGGCATGTATGATAATGATGCATGTTAAAGATTAATTTTAAAAAAATTATTGAATTATGCAACACATACTAATCAATATCAAGATAAAGAAATCTTTCCAACATTTCAATGATGTGCATAAATCATATCAAAATAATAATTCTCTAAAAATGGGATTTTTAACCTATCAAACTAAGAGGACCCGGTAAATAGATGTTGCATGAATCATTTCTTAGGCTTATACATTTAGTAAGATGTGATTACAAACGTAAAACAATAAAAAAGCTATGATCAAGTAAACATTAAACATATATAATCATGTTTATTTAGAATCAAAATGAATGCAATTAATGTAATAAGTCAACCATAAATCTATGAATCTGTCAAATATAACATAAACAATATGATCCATTAAATATGATCGTGATATTATACAAAACATTTTAATTTAATGGTCATTAAATAAAGGACGTAAAATGCTTGAGTTTGAGGGCTTGGGCTTGGGCTTGGGCTTGGGCTTGGCCTTTAGTAGGTCGAAGCACTCTTAACTGAGCCTTGATAAGCCTGGGGCTTTTTTGGATACCAGGCACACTTATAATGTTGATCAACATTCCCGCTTTGTTACTTTATCCAAGAAAAAAAAAAAAAAATTAATGAAACAAACAAGTACACATACCAAGGTACCAATGTTTCTCTAAAAGTGAGTCTCAACTCATTGAATGTTTGGCATTCCACTGTTGTAAGGACTTAATTGGTAATATTGTTGAAATAAAGAAAAATGGAAGAAAGACATCCTCAACATCCCCGATTTGCTACTTCTTTATCCCAAAAAAGAAAAAGAAAAAAAAATACATTTAATGAAACAAGAATTACAAGTACACGAGGGTACACAGATTTCTCTAAAAGTGAGTCTTACTCATTTAATGTTTGACATTGAATTGTCGTCAATAGGCTATCACACATAGAACCTTTGGATTAAATGAGGTTGGAAGGAAAACAAAACACACGACGTTTGGTGCTCATATATAGCCAAAGAAATTTGCTAATTGTAGAAGTTATATATATATTTTTTCCAGAATTTCAAGCAAATTGTATAAAACAATAAAATGTAAAAAGTGGACAAGTCCACCGGATAAGATCTCTAAGTGAGAGACCAGGCCCAATTAGAAACCATCACTTACAAATGGGAATAGGATACAAAAAAAGCCCAAAACAAACCCAAGCCCAGTAACAATTCTCAAGCTGACCTCAAGTCAAGAGGCTTCCTTGGAGGATGGCAGGAGGAGGGGGAGAGACCCCAGCTGAGCAAAACGCGACAAGATTGGGGTGAATCTTTCAAAAACCCACCCATGAGCCTCTCTATGATGGAGGAACAGATTTGGTCCAAAACATGGTTCAGGGAGGAGATCTTGCCTCTAAAAACGCAAGCATTTCGTTTGATTTCCCGTGGTGGGATGACGCATTTAAAGACCTATCAATATTGAACTCATGATGTTGGCTGACTTAGTAGACTTCGTAATATGCTACCCACAAATAATTTTATGGTGTTCTTTTATCAACAAAATCATATAGAACCATCGCTCTGAAAGGTAGAGGAACATGTATATGGTTTATAGATGAAAGGGGTCAGAATTAGCTTGGTTTGGGAAGTGATCGATTGCTAGATTGTAGATACAAAAACTTTTCCGCACTAATGAAGTAATGCAACCCTAAGGTTACCTAGATTCAGATTATTAAGAACAATTTTTTGGGGTATAAATAAAAAATTGTGGAGAATATCGTGGAACAGCTCTTAATAGACAGAAGACCAAATCTGAGATTATGTAAAATGCACCTCTAGCCTTGAAAGCTTCATGCTTTGATAGACTAAAAAAAAGGGATATAATAGAGGATGCAGAAATGTACGTAAAAGTATGAAAGTAAAGAGTAGATTCAATAATATTGTAATGAGAGCCTGGAATAGTCAGGACTACGCAAATGGCCACATAAGACACTTCCAAAACCCAACTGAACATACGGGAAGAAAGAGAGTAATGCAATATGAGATGAATAGAGGGAAGAAGAAGAGTAGAGAGAGGCAGCAAAAACATTTGGAATTTTTCCTATCAACCCAACCATAGTTTTTGGGAATAGGTAAGAAAAAGATAACCCACGAGATCATCACCCTCGTTTTCCAAACCTCCAGTGCTAAGATCCTATGTAGGTAGAATCAATGCATCATATAACCAACCACACGTAGGTGATCCTCAAATGACACATAAAAAAGCTGATAATATAGTAGCATCATCCTCGGATACGAGAAACACCAAAAATGAGTGTTTGCTAGGTCGGGAGGAATGATAAGTGGATGGGAGAGATATGAGTTGCTCAAGTATTCATGAATATAATTCTTAACAGCACACCAAAAGATTAAAATTTATACTTCAAAATATGTGAAGCAAGAATTTACCATCCCTAATGAGAAAAACATCAGCAAGGAAAAACTACTGTCTATGTGTCTTACCTTTTCCTTGGAAAAACTGTTAGACAGTGAGGGAGGTGGCATGCAGAGATCCTTTGAATAAGACCTCAATGTTAAACTCTCTTCTGTGTAAAACAAAACATAACAAAATCAGCCTAGTTTAATGGATTTTTTCTGGAAAATTCCTTTGAAGCATGAGTCACTTGAAGTGGAAATCAACCAATCACCTAATTCTTCCGTTGCCTCTTTGATACTTTCACTTTCACTACAGCATTTTAATGTCACGAAAAAATAAACATGCATTAGAATACTAAAGCTTATTCACAATCAAATGACCTGAAGAAAGAGAGATAAGAAGAAACAAAATTTTCACTGATCAACTGAACAAAGTAATTAGGTGCCAAACCAGTCAATGTCACTTAAATCAACATCTTTGTCATTTATAACAAACCCAGCTCTCTCAAGCAGCGCATTAATGTCGTTGGCCACCTTTTCTTTTGGCATCTATAAGAAAACATTAAGGGAGTAACTTTGTGGAAGTGTTGGGTCAAAACTTAAAACATGAGGAAACTGGTAGTAATACGAGTTGAAAGATGACCATTTTCATTCAAAAGGAAAAACAACTAGCATTCACAACACCCCTGTGGTTTGCCTCTTTGACACCCAGTTCTTTCATAGTGACACCTCCTCAGGTTCGCTCCATTAAACAAAGACACTCCATGGACGCTCTGGCACATGGTAAAATGACCTGAATGCCCTTTTACTTGTGAAGTGACACTTTGAATAGTAAAATTACCAATTAACCCATTCTAACTAATTTTAAATGTCCAAAATAACCTCTTCATCTCAACCACCTACCCACAATGCTGCCACCACCACCACCCCCACCCCCACCCACAGCCACCACCTCTTCTTTCTTCTCTTCCTTCTCTCTCTAAAACACATGCATTGCAATCCTCTGCAACCACTACTCCATGGTCGAACCATCAAGGTCCAGACCACCCTCAATCACCCCCAATTGAAGTCTTCACCATTCAAGATGGCCCCATATAACCCCTTCACTGACAAAACAAATAACTAATGAACCAATGAAGGCAAGTCATGCAATTTCATCAATTTCATTCCACCAAACACCTTCTCTAAAACCTCCCTATGCCTTCCCTTATCAAGAAACAAAAAGTTCTCTCAAAATGACACCATCTTCACCATCAAAACCTTGAACCAATCACAACCAAAACACGAAAGAAACGAAAATTCTCCAAAAATTGACGCCATCTTCACCATCAAAACCATAAACCAATCACAACCAAGCAATAATCATGAAACACGGTAGATGTGGCTCGCCAAAGCCTACATCCACGATGAAGTTCCGGCGAAAGTATTCACTATGCAAAAATCTGGTAGGTTCAAGTTTCAACCCCCAAACCCTAGCTCTCGCTCTATGTTCTACGATTTTCAGTGTCTATCTATATCCCACTCCAAACCCTAAACGCCCATTATGTATCGGGCTACAAGAGGGTACTAAACAGGGTATAGTTGCGACCCCAGAACCAAACTCAGGCCACATCACAGATTCTAAGTAATTGAGTTGTCAATAGTGGTATAGGCTAGGGTTTCAGAGGTGTGTGGTGGTTGGGTGGTTAGTGTGGTGGAGTATGGCAAAGGGAGTGATGGAGGTGGGCGGTTGGAGTGGTGGAGGTGGACAATTGAAAAAGAGAGTGAGAGAGAGAGGAAGGGTGGAGGAGAGAGTGTCCCAATTGAAATGTGTACAGAGGGATGGTGACAGCTGATTGTGGTGGTGGAGGAGAGAGAGACCTAACTAAGGTGTATAGGGGTGTTTGTGGTGGTGGAGGAGAGAGACCTAACTGAGGTGTATAGGGGTGTTTGCGGTGGTGGAGGAGAGAGAGACCTAACTGAGGTTTATAGGGGTGTTTTTGTCTGCCTCGGTTTCGAGGTTGAGCAAAGCTTCAATGGCAGACGAGTTGGACTCAACTGAGTTGGGGTTCGGGTTGGTATGTGATTGATGCGAAGCTTGTTTTAATGGTGATAGTGGGGTGAAGGTTGCGGTGGTGAGTGGGGAGAGAGAAAAAGAAGGGGCAGGTGGTGGTGGGCGGCGATGGTGGGTGGTGGTGGAAATGGTCGGTAGTGGGGTAAGCTGAAAATGTGAGAAAAGTATTAAAAAATGGGTCTTTTGGTTTTAAGGGCTATAGACACTAAAATTTTAATGGATTGTGGTTTTGACAAATTGACCCATCAAATATGGGTTTAATGTTTAATTAAGTTATTTAATTGCCCAAGCTTGGTCCACTTAATTATTTAATTAGTCCGGCGCAGATGATTAAATGAAAAAGATATTTATTCCTAATAAAATATATTTGGAATAATTATTTTTAAGGATAATTATCATAATATGACCGGCCCGGCCAGTTATAATTTTGTTCTTATCAGGAAAGAATACATGTCATCATCCTATTCAAGAAGCCTATAAATAGAGGCACGAAGAAAGAAGGAAAGGGGTCCAGAAATTCAGAGACTCAGAAATCCAGAAGGTCCATAAATTGAGAGACTCAGAAATCCAAAGTGCCAGAAATCCCATAGAGAAATACAGAAGCTCTGTCAACATTCATTCTCAATACCCAAACCAGAAGACGAAAAGCAACAAGCACATCAAATTGTGCCGTTCTTTATCAATTCCACGGTGATCAACAACAAGCACATCAAATCATGCCGTTCTTCATCCAAATTCCACGGTGATTCAAGATCAAGCTCGTGTAGCCCTTGAATACCAACAAAGGAGATCGAATTAGAGGACCTTATTCTTTGTAAAGAATATTACAGAGGATTGTACTCCAATTTTTCCAAATTAATAAAATTCTATTATTTTTGCTCCCTATTTTGTTCTTTATTTGCAGAAAACAAAATTTGTGTATACAAATTTTTGGCACGCTCGGTGGGACATCCTCTGCCTCTCATCTCTTTCTCCTACATCAAATCCTCAATAAATTCATCGTTAGACTCTATGACTTCCAACAAGATTCAGACGAAGAGCAAGAATACCCCCAAGGACATCGCAGTCGTAACGGACAACATCATTACCACCACAAAAGGTGGCAGGAAGGTTGCACCCAAACCAGAAGACGAAAAGCAACAAGCACATCAAATTGTGCCGTTCTTTATCAATTCCACGGTGATCAACAACAAGCACATCAAATCATGCCGTTCTTCATCCAAATTCCACGGTGATTCAAGATCAAGCTTGTGTAGCCCTTGAATACCAATAAAGGAGATCGAATTAGAGGACCTTATTCTTTGTAAAGAATATTACAGAGGATTGTACTCCAATTTTTCCAAATTAATAAAATTCTATTATTTTTGCTCCCTATTTTGTTCTTTATTTGCAGAAAACAAAATTTGTGTATACAAATTTTTGGCACGCTCGGTGGGACATCCTCTGCCTCTCATCTCTTTCTCCTACATCAAATCCTCAATAAATTCATCGTTAGACTCTATGACTTCCAACAAGATTCAAACGAAGAGCAAGAATACCCCCAAGGACATCGCAGTCGTAACGGACAACATCATTACCACCACAAAAGGTGGCAGGAAGGTTGCAACTTCGTCAAGTGGTATAAACATCTATGCAAGTTCAATGATGTGGAGCATGATCAAAGCATCTGTTCCTGCCAAAAGACAGGACGATGCAATAAGAATCAATTCCGCCAAATCTGCCAGAGTAACAACTCAAACTTATACTGCCTTCACCTCGCTGGGGGCAAGGAGGAAGGTTCCTACAACCTCAAAGGTTGCTCCAGTCACAAGTTCAAGTTCAAGGCTGGTCCACCCAAGGCCAAAGATTTTTTCTGACTCCATCACTATGCTAGTCATGATGATGAGTACTACCTCGTATGAAGAGCAATTGACGAGTATGGCCAGTGCAATTGAAAGATTAAAGGAGCAAGATCTGAAAATTGTCTCGTTGACAAAAAAAGTTAAAATTGCGTGACGACAATACTGAGTCAAGCAAATGTCGAATTCCTCATTCTAATTCCATGCCAGAGATCACTCTAATTGACAATAAAAATGACATGTCCGCCAATCCAACAATTGAAGCTGCCTCCGTCACCTCACTTTCTGTCCAACAACTTCAAGACATGATAGTGAATTACATAAGAGAACAATACAGTGGCGTCCCTCAAAGTGCTCGCATGCCTTGCACAGAAAGAATTGACATCTTAAAAATGCCAATTGGATATCAACCTCCAAAACTTCAACAGTTTGACGGAAAAGGCAATCCCAAGCAACATGTCGCACATTTTATAGAAACTTGTAGTAATGCTGGTACAGACGGAGATCTCCATGTCAAACAATTCATTCGTTTCCTCAAAAGGAATGCATTTGATTGGTGCACAGACCTCAAAGCTGGAGGTATTGATAGTTGGGAGCAGATGGAACGAGAATTTTTCCACCGATTCTATATCACTTGTCGTACTGTAAATATGCTGGAGCTTACAAACACAAAACAGATGAAGGGTGAACCCGTAGTTAACTACATCAACCGTTGGCGAGCTCCAAGTCTTGACTGCAAGGATTGTTTATCTGAAATTTCTGCAGTTGAAGCATGTATGCAAGGCATGTGCTGGGAGCTTCTTTACATCCTACAAGGGATTAAGCTTCGCACATTTGAAGAGCTTGTTACTAGAGCCCATGACATAAAGGTTAGCATAGAAAATCATGGTGCTAGAGAAGATGTTCCTGATATATCCGACAACCTTCAAGAAGATGAGAAAAGTGAGTCCGAAGAAGAAGACAATATACTTCCTAACTCGGATGACGAAATAGATCCATCTTTCATTATAAGCATCATCTCGAAAGACATGCATCAAGAAACGCACCATACTACAACAATAACTTCAACCGAAAGTGCAAAATCACAGGGGGCATTAAGTCAAAGAAACCAAGAAGAAAATTCTCAAAGTGACGACGAGATAGTCCGTGCCCTCCAGTATAAGCTTGGATTGTCGTCTGATTCTTGCAAAGTTTAAGAACAATTAAAGTTGAAGTACTCCCAGATACGAGCCTAAACTGTTGATGACACTCCTTTGACAAGTGTTTAAACTGTCTACCTAGAACAAAAAAAAAATCAAGAACTCCTTGACACGAGTATAAACTGTCTACCTGAAAAAAAAATCAAGAACTCCTAGATATGAGTTTAAACAGTCACCAAAAAAAAAAAAAAAAAATTACATTCCTTGATACGAGTTTAAACTGTCTACCTGGAAAAAAATCAAGAACTTCTTGATACGAGTTTAAACTGTCTCCCAAAAAAACAAAATGACACTCCTTGACACGAGTTTAAACTGTCTACCTTAAGAAAAAAATCAAGAACTCCTTGACACTAGTATAAACTGTCTAACTGGAAAAAAAAATCAAGAACTCCTTGATACAAGTTAAAACTCTCCAAAAAAAAAAAAAAAAACTGTTTGACACGAGTATAAATTTTTTTCGGAAAAAAATTGAATTACGTGATAACTTGATCCCTGTTCAAGGTACGTAGGCATCTTGAAGGCCTGTTCCAAGTGCATTCCACCAAAAAAAAAAAAAACTCCTCAAAGTTGCAAAATAGCAAAGTGTGCTCGTCACGAGATATCAAAATGACTAGTCACAATTAATCAACTTGGCTTACTGTCAAAATATTGTTGTCGCTCGTCATAAATTTTCAACTTGGCTCGCTATCAAGATGTTGTCACTCATCATGCGATATCAAAAGTGTTTGTCGCACCTGTCAACTTGGCACGCCACCAAAGTATAGCTGCAAAGAAAATTTTAGTCCGTCGCCAAATTGTAGCTGCAAGGAAGAAATTTGGCCCGCCACCAACGTGTAGTTGAAAAGAAGAATTTTGGTCTATCGCCATAATTGTAGCCACAAAAGAAATTTTGATCCGGCAAAGTGTAGCTGCGAAGAAATAAATTGGTTTGTCGCCAGACTGTAGCTGCCTAGAAAAATTTTGCTCCCCGCCGAAGTATTGATGAAAGAGAAATTTTGTTTTCCACTGAAGTGTCGCTGAAGAAAAAAAAAATTATGCTCGCCGCTAAGGTATTGTTGAAAGGTTGATCCGTCGGCAAAATGTCATTGCAAAGGAAAAAGATCTTTGCCTTTCCATTAAGCTGTTGTTCAAGAAAAAAATTTTGCTCGAGGTATTGCTGAAAGGAAGAAGTGGCTTTGCATGTCCAATGAAGTTGAGAATTTAATATCAAGTCCAATGGATTCTTCGTTAATCTGATCAAGACCAAAGTTGGTGGGTTCGCATGTAGCCTTGCGTGTCCAATGAGATGAACAATGTTCATTGTCAGAATCAAATAATTGAATGCATGTCTAAAGAGATGAACAATGTTCATTGTCAGTATCAGGCAATTGAATGCGTGTCCAATGAAAAGAACAATGTTCATTTTCAGGATCAGGCATTTGAATGGCATTGGGACTGAGAAGTGAGTTAGATACACTTAATGTGGTTCCTTGGCCTCTTTGACTACTTTCGTTCTCTAAGATAGTCATCTTTTGCTTTGTAAAACACTTGAATACCACCATATTGTGACAACAAATTTGAAGACTCCATCGGTGTTATCTAAAAAGAGGAATTCCATTTCTGCTACAGTTGACAAAATCAAGTTGCTATACCCAATCAAGTCGTTGGACAAAAAAAAACAAAAAAAAAAAGAAAAAAAAAAAGCGTAAAAAAAGGAAAAAGGAAAAAAAAAATGCATGAAAAAAAGAGAGAGAGAGAGAGAGAGAGAGAGAGAGAGAGAGAAAAAATGCTTGAAAAAAAAAGGAGAAAAAAAAAAGAAAAAAAAAAAGAGAGAAAAATCGTACTAATTATTTGTTCGAACAGAGGCCACAATCTAACAAGTCTTCAGAGGCTTTGGAATTGATGTCTAACCCTATAGCATGGATAGGTATATATAGACATTAAAATATCTTCTATTTGTACTGGGATTTGTATAACTCAGATCAAATGGGAAAGTAAAATTATAATCCAAAGTTGGATAGGAAAGCCTTTTATAATTCAAAGACCAAGTTGGATATTTCAAGTCTCACTTGAAAAAAGAGACAAGTCCTATCAAACATGGGACTCGAAGTGGGAGCAATTTGTAGACACTAAAATTTTAATGGACTTTGGTTTTGACAAATTGACCCAACAAATATAGGTTTAATGTTTAATTAAGTTATTTAATTGGCCCAAGCTTGGTCCCCTTAAATTATTTAATTAGTCCGACCCAGATGATTAAATGAAAAAAATAATTATTCTTAATAAAATATATTTGGAATAATTATTTTTAAGGATAATTATCATAATATGACCGGCCCGGTTATAATTTTGTCCTTGTCAGAAAAGGACATATGTCATCATCCTATTAATCCAAGAAGCCTATAAATAGAGGCATGAAAGAAAAAGGAAAGGGGTCCAAATATTGAGAGACTCAGAAATCCAGAAGGTCCATAAATTGAGAGACTCAGAAATCCAGAGTGCCAGAAATCCCAGAGAGAAATACAGAAGCTCTGCCAACATTCATTCCCAATACTCAAACTTGAAGACGAAGAGCAACAAGCACATCAAATCGTGCCGTTCTTTATCAAATTCCACTGTGATCAACAACAAGCACATTAAATCGTGCCGTTCTTCATCCAAATTCCACGGTGATTCAAGATCAAGCTCGTATAGCCCTTGAATACCAATAAAGGAGATCGAATCAGAAAACCTTATTCTTTGTAAAGAATATTACTCCAATTTTTTCAAATTAATAAAATTCTATTATTTTTGCTCCAGATTTTGTTCTTATTTGCAGAGTACAATATTTATTTGTGTGTACAGGGGCAAAGTGGTCTTTTGGTTTCTCTATTTTTTTTTTAATAAAAGAGCATTAAAAAATTAGGGCAATTTAGACATTTCACACATTTTTAATGTGGAAAAGCTAACGGAAGGTGTGACTTTCAAAAACATTGCCAAGTTCTATCTGGGTGACAGAGGCAAACCACATGGGTCAGTGTAATTTTTAATAGGTATAAATATCATAACCAAATAAATCTCTACACAATTTCTGGCAGAAAAGAAAAAAAGTTTAATTCTATGCATGTTGTAAACAATATGAGAATTACAATAAATCGCAAGAAACAAGCACAAAAACCATAAAAAACACGGATCATAACAACTTACTTCACTTTGTATTAACCGCCTGTATTTTTCAAGAGCAACACCAGCCTTCTCAAACACTTCGAGCAACAGTATTCCCCGCGTCATCGCTGCCTTAATATCGTTAAGCGACCGAACCAACTTACCAATCTTATTAATTCCGAGCAACTTGCTTTCATCTTGAGTTAGTCTTACAATCTCTTCAACCAACTTATCATTCTTGTGACTTCCGATCAATTTGATTTCATCTTCAGTTAGTCCTACAATCTCTTCAATGATGCTTTTGCGTATTGACATGCTCAAAGGGATTAACTTTTCTCGAGCAACCATTAGTAGAGTAGCCATCTCAATAAGTTCTCCCTCCATAGCATAATGACTAAATATTTTATCAACCTCCTTTGTGTTCCATGCCAGCAACCTATTAATTTCTAATGGTACCTTCTGCCATATTTAACCATAATAAGCAACAAACAGAAAGGAAAAAAAAAAGATCAGACCTCTCAACCCATTCAAATGTATAGAAAGTAAACACTATTTGTAATACACATAAATTTTGTCTAAACAAACCATTTGAGGCAGACAAAGAACAACGATCAACTTGAAGATAGATTGTTTTGGGGTCCAATCAATCAAGGATCGATGATAACTGCATCAACCACATTAAAAATCCAATCAAGAAAAAGGGGAAAGAATTAAGTAGTTAAGAATGATGTATTAAACCTTGATAAGAAAGAATAATTTTATATTATAATATCTGTCTTCTACCTTACTGTTTCAAGTGATACGTTGAGAGGAAACAAGTCGCCCCTAAATTCACCCTCTATGGTTCTGACATCAGTCCGAGCTCCATGGCAAAGTAATGTCGCAATCATTTCATATGATAAACTATTAGCTGCTAAATGCAATGGATATAATCCATCGTTAAAGGGAATATTGAGATCAGCGATGAAACCAGTCTCCCCTCTGAGAAAAGCGATGGCACAACCTATTATGCCAGACTGACAAATGTGATGCAAAATTATTGGTGGGCAATATTTAGCTTGATAATCAAATGATTCCTTCTTTCTAACTTCTTCTGTTTTTGGTACTTCTCTTTGAAATAGATCCTTCATAAAAGAGAGAAATAGAGGTTTGTCATCATACCAAACAATCTCTGTCAATGTTTCCATGACATCACGACCAATTTCTTCCTTTAGATGAGCATATCCAACCTGTCATTATTTGAACAACACTAACATCAACACGTGAAGACAACCACAATAAGATAATAGCGCATATCATTAAAATAAATGTACGAACAGTAATATAAGTAAGAAAAAGGAAGCCCCGATCTTCTGCTGTAATCTCCTATGCTGTAGTGGTGCCATAGGGTTTTTCAACACAATTACACCTGTTTTCAACATATTTACATCTACTTATTTTTATTGCGTTGAGAAACAGATGTAATAAGTTGAAAAATCACAGTTGAAAAGCAGATGTATGTGTTGAAAAACCATCAGCACAGCAGAGGAGATTATAGGTGAGGATCTGAGTGCATGAAAAGGGAATGTGAATGTATTCAAGTTTAAGTAGACACCTCAGACATCCTTGCCCCAATTACAGTATCTGCTCTGAATTCTGACCTCCTTAAAAGGCGCTCCAATATCAGAATAACCTTCAGAAGAAAAAAAAAACATAATCGATTGGAATCCCAACATTCATCGGATACATAAAAGGGTTTATGCACTTGTGTATAAAAAACATAAAAGCTCGCATACGAAACAAGAGGCCATTACTGGCCTAGTTGATAGAGCAACCAGCTCCACGAGCAGGTGTGCCCGAGTTCAAATCCCCACTCCACCTAGTTTGCGAAGGAAAAAAAAAAAACATATGAAACAAGACAAACTTAATCCCTACTACTCGCGCCTGTAAAGCTACATAAGCCGACGCTATGTATTTGCTAGAATCAGATCTATACCAAATCAAACTAGGTAGAGAATATCTGAATCCAAAAGTACAAATATTTCCAATAGAGATGAAATGCAAATTGATCCAATATAGTCAGGGGCATAAAACTTCTGCACAACAATCATACAATTTCGGAAAAAATATTGAAACAAATACAGGCCAACGAAGAGATATCAGAGACCAAAGGAACGCCGATATGGGTGTGGCGGACTAGTTTCGATTTGGTGGCAGTGGTGCTCATGAAATTTCAGCACAACAATCATAAAAATTTGGGAAAAAAATTAAAGAATACTGCCCAACGAAGAGAAATCAGAGACCAAAGGGGACACTGATATGGGTGTGGGGGACTAGGTTCGATCTGCTGGTGGTGGTGCAGTGGGAGCGAAGAAACCCACCTGGTGCACAAGGTCGATCACTCTTGGGGGAGAGGCACGTGAGATAGAAGCTGGGGATGTAAGTTTTGAAATAAAATAAATAGCCACCTTTTATGAGCTGACATACTCTAATGAGGTTATTTTTTCCAACATAAAAATTTGGGGGAGAAATCGTCCCCTTCAAGGAGGGGAGGTCAGCTTTGCAGTATATATCCGATTCATTGTTAGGGTTGATAAGTCGGGTTTAAATATAGTTCAGGACTGCCTCAGGTTAGGCTTCGAATTGATTTACACAGTAACTCGAGCTCCAATCAAAATGAAATGGGGTTGTTACTTTTCAAACCAAGCTCGGACCAATTTGCAAGTTAAACAGCCTGCCCAAAAACTTTGGAACTAGGCTCGAGTTTGTCTGAATTGGGCCCACCCAATTTGCACCCCTAGCTATATTTACTATGGAAAGCTAAGTGACCTCAGTGAAATTTAGATATTTGATGGGTAATTAGTTGGTTATTAACAAGTGAAACTAATAGAGAGTGTGCTCTTACTACTACCTTTCTTCGTGATTATCATTACAACCTTTCTTCTTCTTGATTAATTACAACGTACATAGGGATGGCAAAGGGTACAGGAGTACCTTCCCCCTCCCGTTTAAGTCTCCCCACCAAAACTGTTTAGCAAAACCCCCCTCTCACCGTCCCATTTAAGTTTCACTGCCCCACACCATTTAAGTTTGAATTTACTGATACACTAACATATAATCAAAATGAATGATCAAGTATGCGTTCTGTGAGCTTAAATGATAAGTGAACTACTGTAAAAATAAAGGAAATATATAAATGATATGTGTTCTGTTAAAGTAATTTTATGAGATCAGAATCATTAAATCTGTGTAAAAGATAAAGGAATTTCATAAGATCGGATGTATATTCTGTTCTAATTGAACCCTTAAATCATAATCAAACACAAATATCTGAAAAATAAAGATTTACCCATTTCTCAAGTAATAAATTGGTGTAAATCTATACGCCCTTTAGACATATAATATATAGACAGCCACTGTCAGTGTCCACCCACAGAGTAAGTTCACTGAGTTTTACTTTATGTATACCACACGCAGCAAGTTCACTAAGTTGTACTTTGGTTATACCACAACACAGCAACGGATCTTTAACTTTGAAGAAAAAAAGAAAAAGAGAGAGAACTGACCGTAGGCCGTAAAACCAGTGGGTTGTCAGTGAGGTTGACGAAGCCGGCTTCGGCGGCAGGCCGTGAGGTATGAGAGAGTGAGGGTTTTTGGTTATCTCTATCTAGAACGGCTGTACGCTTCAACGGATCTTTAACTTTGAAGAAAAAAAGAAAAAGAGAGAGAAGTGACCGTAGGCCGTAAAACCAGTGGGTGGTCAGTGAGGTTGACGAAGCCGGCTTCGGTGGCAGGCCGTGAGGTATGAGAGAGTGAGGGTTTTTGGTTATCTCTATCTAGAACGGCTGTACCCTGAAGCGATAAGATATCGGTACCTAAGCGATGAGATATCGGTACCTATTAGTCTATTACCATATCGTGTTTGCATATGTATATATATATATACATATACATATACACACACACGATAATTTACCCGTGTATATATACACACACACACGATAATTTACCCCTATGTGTGCATATATATATACACACACACACACACACACGATAGTTTACCCCGTGTATATATATATATATATACACACACACACACGATAATTTACCCCTATGTGTGTATATATATATACATATACACACACACGATAGTTTACCCGTGTATATATATATATACACACACACACGATAATTTACCCCTATGTGTGTATATATATATACATATACACACACGAAAATTTACCCATACATATGTATATATATATACACGGGGTAAATTATATGTATATATATATATATGTATAAATACCATCGAATAAGATTTGATCCTATTCATGGAGATTTCGTAAATATTCCATTTCAAAAATAGAAAGTTCGAAACAATTGGGATTTTTTTGAAAATTGGATGCAGTTACTAATTCATGATCTGGCATGTACAGAATGAAAACTTCATTCTCGATTCTACTAGAATTTTTATGAAAGCCTTTCATTACATATATATATATATACATATAATTTATCCCGTATATATATATATACATATGTATGGGTAAATTATCGTGCGGGTGTACATATGGGTAAATTATGGTGTGGGTGTACATATGGGTAAATTAGACAGACTTCCTTTGAGTTCTGGGTAACGAAAGACTTCCGGTCCGGATGAAGTTTATCCGATCTGGACACGTGGCCCAATCACACGTGGTTACTTAATATAAAATTAAAATGAATATTACCCATCAATTCCCGGGTATAACCCGTTCTTACTCTCCATCCCCAATTTCCAGAACTCTCCACGTCAAACTCATCGTTTTTTTGGCTTGCTGCATCTTCAATCCCCAAAACAAGAACCACCCAATCACAAAGTTGGCCTGCAAACACAAAATTCAGCCACCCATGGTAATCAACACCCAAATTCAAACTCCAACAACCAAATCAAGCAACCAAACAGCAGCCCCAAACCACCAATTCGCAACCCCAATCATCAATTTAGAGCACCGTGACTGCCCCAGCCTCCATTTTCTTTCCCCAAAGCCTGAGATTTGTAGAGCTCGAGCTCGAGCTTGCCGTCGGCTACAGTTCGAGGAGCAAAAAGGCGACGACAGTTCGAGGAGCATCCATGTAACTATCAGCCATGCTTGATTCATCGCCGGACTGAACTTCGCAGGCCACTCGCCGTCACGCGCACACGCCCCACTTCTTCTCCGGGCAACGAGGTCTTTGTCAACCTCTCCATTCTCTGCGCTGTGAAGTGGGCGACTGTTCTCTCTTATCTTGTCATCTACCTGCCGGGATTTTCGGACTCGGCCATGGCTCTGCCGAGTCAACTCGGTCTCCAACACCACTCGATTTATCCTCTCCATGCTCTTCTTAGGCCACCTCGGCGACACTGGACTACACCGCCGACCTCAATTCCGGTTACTTCTTCGCCAACAGCCACCAAACGAGAATCGGATCTAAGGCAACCGAAGGTGGAGGACTTGAGAGGAGGAAAGATTGATGATGAAATGGGTTTCATGAAATAGAAACGGGTTATACCGGAAATTCATGGATAATATCCATTTTAATATTATATTAATTGCAGCCGCGTGATGTAATGTGATTGGGCCACGTATTCAGGTTGGATGAACTTCATCAAATCTGGGTTGGACCAAGTATTGTTCTTTGTTATCAAAGACACTTCTCTTGTTTTGTTTTGGATACCAAATTTTATAAAATAATATTTTTTTTCTTTTCTTTTATAAAATAAAAATTATATTAATTTTTTTTAAAGTTTGTCATAATTACCGAACCTTTCTTAAGTTTTAAAAGTTACTCTAACCTACTAAAAACAAATCTTGTGACATGGGCCTCCCTACCACTAGTTCATGACGAAAATTCAATTTACTTCCAAACATTTTGAATTCTATCTCACTCCTAATTTATACATACATCCATATATGTATGTAAATCACCTCTTAAAATTCAAGTATACCTTCTCCAACACCATATTGCAACCCAACAACACAATGCTATAATTAATGTCGGTAAGAAGATGACTTATGAAGTTGAAATTATAGAAAAAAAAAAAAAAAAATGTTTGTTGCGAGGGTGGTGTGTGTTACAAGGTTTAGTTTTTAGGGGATGCTCAAGTAATTTAAAAAATGGTAGGGGAGATCCGTGTAATTATGGTAAATCTCGAGGAAGTCAATGTAATTCACCCTATATTATAATATAAGGGCATTACTAACTTTCACATTTTTCGGCCACCCGTGAACGAGTTTAAGAGTGATTAAAGTAATAAACGCTGAAATATTCTTCACATTTGTAATTTGTTCAAACATCAAGGGAGGTCAGTATAATTTATCACACACACACAATATTGTTCAACAACGCAAATATTCTTACTCACCTTAATTGTGATACCCCCAATTTTCTCACATAAGTTGATCAGACTTACACACAAAAATCGGGTGATATCAGAGGCAATAGATAATAAGCAAGCATGAAGTACAAAATGATAAATAAATAAAAAAAAATTAAAATTAAAAGCAAAAAGAAATTACAATAAATGATAATAATCTTCAACCATCCACAAAATCGATAAATGTTTAAATCTCAAAAAATACAACTTGGGAATCCCGTAAAGCAAGGACTCCTAAATCCATATTTAATTGTGTCCAAATTGTTTTACCACTTTAAGTGGGTATTCGCTTTTTGGAAAACGTTGCATTGGTTATGTATTGGTAAACCATATCATACATTAAATAATGTGTTAGTTATATATTTTATCTTAATTGTTGTAACCAATTTGGATAATGTTGTGTTGGTTAGGTGTTGGGTGAATAATTCTAAATAGTTATATAACGTGTAACGTGTTATTTAAATATTTCTTATAACCACTTTTTGGACAATATGGTAGTGGTTGGTCGATTTTACCACTCTAGTGGAAAATACGTGTTATATATTGTTACACGTAATTAATATTAATAAATGGTTAAATTAAGTAATAAGTTCCAAATTATTTTGTGCTAATACTAAAATTGTGCAATTAATTTCATAATCTAATTTATGGTTTAATTATATGTGTTGATGTCCTTGTGATCTATAAACATGATCTATGGTTATATTATTTATTACATCTCTAATTTATACCTTGTGGATGAGATTAATGGATGTATGTGATGTAATCATTGAGATAACTAATAAGATAGACTCATTGTTAGATATGGCTTTATATATGACGAAATCATTGAGATAGCTAATGGGACAGAGCCATAATTTTTTTTTCTTCAGGGGACACATTATACACTAAATACATATAAATTAGTATTTATGGAGTATATATACATAAAGAGACATAGGTGGATATATATAGAGATTGATATTTTTGGGATGAGATACATTAATAAATTACATATATATAATATAATGAAACAATTTAAGAAAAAACATTTAAGGAAACATATATAGTATATAAAGGAAGGAGGAAATTCAGGGGGGCATTTTTACACATTTCCAACATATATATACATATTATATATATATATATATATATATATATATATATATATATATATATATAAGGGAAAGAAAAAATCCAGGGGGGGCACGTGCCACCCGTTCCTATACTAGCTCCGTCCCTGAATAGCTAATAAGTTAGGCTTCATGATATTTTATCTCATTGTTAGACATGTCTTTGATGATTCGATTTATAAGTGGACTGGCTAATAAGTCGACACGCTACTTGTGCTGATGAGGGCTGAAAAGTACGTATTTAAACCCCTTATGCTCGATTATTTTAGGACCTTTATCTATCTTATTTTTCTGTTTTAGACTAATTTCGTGTTATTGCCCTTTTCAAACGCTTATCCCCAAAATAAGTCAATTCAGTCAAATTAGAGCATAAAAGAAGCAATCTTAAGCTAAATGGAAGAAATGATAAAAAAAAATGAGCAAAGTGGTGGAAAACAGCAAGTTTCGATCGATCAGACCAATCTTCGATCGATCTCACAGTGATCGATCCAGCCTCACCAAGATGGATTAAACCCCTTGTCCTTATCCTCAAGAATTTTTATCTTCGATCGATCCAACTTTCTTTTCGATCGATCCAACTTCTTTGATCTTATCCCTACCTACCTCTTTTGTCTTTTTCCTAAAATATCCCAAAAATATCTCAGGCTTGTCCTATTCCAAAAAGGCGCCGCCAAGGTTTAATCGATCTAGCCACACTTTGATCGATCTAAACATTCTTCGATCGATCGAATCTCCTCAAGTTCGAAATAAAATTGAGTCCAGCTCATTAAAAGATGGCTCGTGGTACAATCATTGAAGGAGCCCTAATACATGAGACCTGACCATTGGGTGTGACATTGGAGCGACCTATATAAGGATTTTGAGCCGTTTTTACACAAGAGATGCATGTGAGGTGTGGAAACACACAATAGATAATCTACAAGAGAATAGAGGAGAGAGCTTAGAGATTAGAGAGATACACACACCATTTGGTAGTTCTTCCATTCATATAGGGTTTCCATCAAGGAGAAGAAGATTAATCTTACCATGGAGATGGCCCTTGAGGGTTGGATGACTACATCAATGAGTGGCTAAACATCTTTTTGGGGCTAGAGTTAGCCCTAAGCATGCCTTCTAGATCTTGATGTTTTGTATTATGAGGGGATTTGTGTTGTAATCTTGTATCGACATTTGATTTATATATGAATCTTGTTTCTACAATGATTTATGTTGTTTAATGCTTCCAATTGATCATTTCATTCTATTCATATGTCTATGTATTCTATAATAGATGTTCATGTATTTATCTCTTAGTTTTGTGATATTGATGCATGTCTATGTGTGTTAATGCTATGAATCTAGAGATTGTCAAGGTATGGTGTTTTAATGGAATACTCTTGTAGCTTGTTTGATGGTTCAT